AAGATGCTACCCAAAGAGAGCAACTGCCAAAGATTCAGCCTATCTGCTTTTGCTCTGTCTAAAGCAAAACAAACAAAACGAATGAGCAGCTCTCTTCGCGGACAACGTGTGTACACCATTTGGAAAAGAAAATAATCCAACGTGGAGACAGGCGAACGTATATAAGTCGGCATTTTCGTCGAAGGACAGGAAGTCACGAAGTCAGCTGGATTCGAGATGCTCGTGCAAAACTTATGAGCGGGAAGAAAAGGACGTGACGAAACGGCCATGGGGAACGTAAGCGAACTCGGGAAGTGCAGGAAGTAGACAGGAATAAAAGAAAGGATAGGCAGAGAAACGACGAAGCGGTAAATGGCTTCTTCGACGAGCTTCGAGAGGACTGCTGTAGGGACTGGATCAAGAGGGAGATCAAGATTGAGAGAGAATGAGTGAGAAGGAAAAGATTGAGAAAGGAAGAGAATAGGAAACACAAATATAGACAGATGGAGGAGGGTGACAAAGCTAGAGAAACAAGAAAAAGAAAAAAATTGAGACAGGAAGAGGAGGAAGCTAAGAAACGAAGAGAGAGACGAGGCCTATGCCAAAGACTAAAAAATGAAGATGAAGAACACAACTCTGGAGAAAGTTTTAAAGATAAAAATTTAGAAAAAGAAGTTAAAGGTGGAGAGATAGAGGAGAAATAACAGCGAGAGAAGAGGAAGCTAATAATAAAAAAGGGAGAGAGATAGTGCTAGTATACAGAAAAAAGAGACAGAAAAGAGGAAGATAAAGATGGAGATAAAAAGAAGGGAAAGTTTAAGATAAAAAGACGGTAAAGCGAGAGAGAATGTTACTGTAGAGAGAAAGATAAATGTTTAGACATAAAGGAGCAAGTTAAATGGAGAGATGAAAGGAGAAAGAAACATCGAAAGAGACAAGAGGAAGCTATGGATAAGCAAAAGGGAAAGAAAGTGAACGCTACTGCGGAGAGAAAGATGCGTAAGTTAAGACCGGAGATATGAAGAAAAGGAAAAATAAAAAAATGAGGAAACGACATGACTAGAGACAGCAAAGGAAGCTAAAGATGATAAGAAGAGAGGGAGAGGATTTCACTGTAGAGCCTAAACGCGGGAATCAGATCGATTCGAAGCGCCACATCCCGAAAGAACACATCACATCCTTTGTAAGCCATTCTTGCCACTTTTCGGATGTTTGCTTCTTCTTTTACGAGGCACCCTTTTAAACGCTCGGAGAAAAGGTACCTCAACTAGAAGCAAGAAAAGAAAGTTTTGAAAAAGGGGACAAAAACCAATTATGAACAGAACGAGTCGACTGAGAATAAACTGTTCAATTAGAAATAACGTCACAGCTTTGCCGCAAAGGCGAAGCAATGAACGCGATAGCAACAAGTTTGAAGATCACGCGCAGAATGGGAAGCAGCTCAAAACGTGCCCCACGTTTCTCACGCACAAATGACGCACGAAACGTACTCACAGGTACAGATGCACGTGAATACGCGTATCAGTTGTTACTTGGCTGTGTCTGAAAAGCGCACGCTTGTCGCAAACAGAGACTGCAAATTGCAGTGACCTTTCTGCGCCCAGTATCTACAACAGAATCGTTCCAGGCAAAGCCCGAGGCCAGCCAAGACGTACGATCCTCCCCTCTCCCCACCACGAGATAAGTGCGGCGAGAGAGCGTCGCTCCCCTCCTTTAAGCGGGGCAAAGTATACGTGTGGGAGATTAAAGCGCGTGCCGCCGTGTTGACGCGAGCTCATTGCGCCATCTTGCTGGTAATGCTGGGAAAACACCACAATTCGCCCCGAGATGCCCGTGAGAAGCGGTAAGTGGTAGATATAAATAGCTTGCCGTTTGAACGGTGAAGCATGTGCTTCTCGGTGGCTCAGTGGTTAACGCCTCGCACTCACAATTCAGAGGGCCCAAGTTTGATTCCACGCGCCGGAGTCTCCTTCTGGTTTTTTGTTTTCTTTCTTGCATTTTCATATGTATATATACGTATACATATAGGGTGAGTGACGTCGGTGCCGGCGGCAAAACCCAGCCGAGAGTGTCCATATAAATGCTATCACATTAATAAAAAAGAAACTTTACCGAAAAAAACTTGGACCATCTCCACGAAGGGAACACTGATGGGATGCGAAGCGGCAGCGTTGCACATGGGTGGCGTCACGGGTTGAACGGCACTAACGCGCAGGTGCTGCGGTGACCACTGGGAGATTCGTTTGAAGCGATGACTGGCGTAGGTCTTGTAGGTGACACGTACAGACATGTTTTAACGAGTGCGTTAGGCGCGCGTCAGGTTTATTGCGCGTGATTCGACGAGACGGCTGTGTAGCGAGCGGAGGTCGCGGCAGGTGTTGCGAGCGAACAGACGAGGCGGCAGCTGCGGGCGCCGCAGCGATGGCGCGACAGGCGAGGAAGAAAGTTAAGTCGCGCGTGCTGCGAGGGGAGCATGACGCAACGCGCAGCAGTGGCGTGACCTATTTTGCACCGCGCCAACACCTGCGGCACGCGGCGCGTTCGTATGGAGGGACAACGTTACACAGGCTAGTGAAAGACCTGCTTCGCATCTAAAAATTCTAACGCGAGGAATGTTTGATTTAGCACTTTCCACTTTCAAAGTTTCAATAATGAACTGCAGGCAACACGGAAAACGTGAGGTGTTGAAGTATACCAGTGTTCGTTTTTGCATTGTTGTTGTTATTCTTTGTATTATTATTAATATTACCTTTATTATTGTTGTAACTATTACATTCTTGTTATCATTTTTATTACGCATCAACAGCTGATTTTTCATCAGGCACAGGGAAAACTCGTAAAAACGAAACTGATCTCATGGTTTCATCTCTTAAGTGGAGCCCACGTGCTCCATGTGAAGTGCAAACGATAATAATTGTTAGGGTCTTACATCCAAAAAACCACGATATCATAATAAAAGATGACGTATTGAAGGGCTCCAAAAATTTTGACCACCTGAGATTTTTTAGGGTGCACAGGAATTTTAAGTACACGGCCCTGAAGCATTTCGTCTCAGTCGAAATGTCACCGCCGTGGCCGGGATTTGACCCCACGACCTTTAGAAAAGCAGGGAAGTGCAAAACAAATACGGCATCTTCAAAAACAAACACATCAAAAAGGAAAAAAAAGAACAGCAGTGGAGCGCCTTCAAATGACCTTTTCAAGCATTCATGCATGCGGAATAAAAGAGAATTGTGTGCCGTCGAAGCGAAGCGTGTAATCCTCGTTACAGTCGCTTAAGGATAAAGCCCCAACGTCGTCTCCTTAAACACCAGAAACTGATGCTTGGTGTCGAAATCGACGCTAGCTGATATTGCGCTTATTAAGAACCACCTCGCAATAAAGAGAACTGTACTCCCACTCCCTGCCAGAGCTATAACCTCGCAATTCCTTCTTTTTTTAAACTCCAAATGAGACACTTTTATGACCTCATATTTGTCAAGAAATATGAGCCGCATAATTATAGGAGCACCCGTGTCACGTTTTTCTTAATACCGCGCAGTTTCTTGAATCTCATTATGTAAGTTTTCCTTAAGCCATTACATTTATGGCGTCCCAACTCATACGATTCGGCCGTGCAAAACTGTCCCGCTGCGTTTTTTGGGTGAACGCTTCGCTGTATTAAGCAAGCTCACCACCAATCTTCTTGAAAGCGCGCTCACTATGCTTTTCTCATTAACAAAATTGGGACTCATAAACAGCACCGGTTCACAAAACAAACAAAAGGTACCGGAAACGCGTCATTACGTCCCAGCACGAGACGCCTTTCTCTCGGTAAGCGTCATCGATGCTATTCCTTTTTGGGATTCCCACCTATAACATGACTACAGCTTGAGCTTGTGACATGTAACATGACTACAGCTTGAGCATGTCATCCACAGCAGCCTCGTCACATAAGCGTACACAGAGTTGGCTTTCGGGGGAGGCGGTGCCGAAAGTTCACCGCAGCGCCCCCCCCCCTTATTAATTCAACGTATGGGGCAGCCTTCTGCTCCCCCCCCCCCTATTCTAGGTGATTAAAGGAGGGGGGGAGGTAGCCGCCCCCATACCCTCTTTTGCGCAACGCCTATAGCCTCTCATGCCCAGTTTCTGTAGCGGCATGTGTTCGAATTCTGACTGAACTAAGTTACCGCATTTCTTCGCATATTATCAGCCCTATCTGACTATACTGCTCTGCAATTCGCCGTTCAAGGAAGATCTGCTTAAGGCTGCAACAACCCGCTGTTTCCTGTACGACCGTAGAAAGCTACGAATCAATAGAAACACGCACGCCTGCAAGAGAGATGATGTTGCAGATTGGAGCAGGTGTAAGCAGTTGCTGATAACGTTGCGGCTAGAACACACTTGCTGGCTGAACACCACTGCTTTAACGCCAAGTTGAAGTTGACTATTAGAGCGAGTAAAAGCCCCTTAGCCCACTTCGAGCTCGGAGACGATAGAGCGGTTTCTTTCTCGCATCGGCTATCCTTCCTACAGGCCATTACAGGGGCCATCTCCTCCTCTGTATACTGCTTTGTTCACAAAACACATGATCAGTGTCAGAACTAAGGTTGAGGCTATCAGTGTTTCGCGTTCTTTCGGCTACACGGCAGTTACCTCAACTTGAGCGATCGAAAAACGAACAAAGAAAGTGAAATCAATTCGTGCACGATGTCCATGCGAAACAAGGCCGAATTGGCGAGCGACTGCATATCAGAGACAATTGCAATGTTGACTGATAACGATTAACACGGGCCAATCAACAGCTTATTTCTTAATGACGTCACGTGAATAGACTGCTGGCATCACGTAATGCGCCGAAAAGCCGGGAAACGGCAGGACACAGTAACGCGCTCAATCTTTGTATTTTCAGAGGTTGTTTAGGGGCTCTTTAAACGATTCGTTCGCTCGTTAGCATCAGCAAGTGCACCACTATAAAAAAAGACAGACACAAAAGCAAACATAACAGCGATAGATGATTGCGAACACAAGAGAGGTATTACCTTTGAGGCGGACACAACGACAGCCATACAACGCGAACAGGCAGCCGCAGGTGGATCACAAGCGGCTGCGGCCTGCGAGAGAGAAGAATATGATGAGAGTCACTTGAGCACGACAAGTTTGCGAGCAAATGAGTAATTGATGCGAATCATTCTGAAGGAACTGCACTGGGCTTTCAGGTAGCAGTTTTTGAAGACGCACCAAAGAAGAAAGCATTTTCTCAAGTCAGACCTAATACTGGGAAGGCGGTTTGCGGTGATGTAAGCCAACTTTTGGAGTAAATGTGACGAAATACTTTTTTCTTGACGCGGCAGTTCTAACCTAGTGTGTACGTTTTTTCTCCCCCTCTTTTTCGTCTTCCGGCAATCGCTGCTTGAAATAATGAAGTTCCAGTGATGTCAGGATGCGAGTAGCAAGGAAGAAAGAAAGAAAGAAAGAAAGAAAGAAAAAAGAAAGAAGGAAAGAAAGAAAGAAAGAAAGAAAGGAAAAAATAAGGAAAGAAATAAGAAAGAAAGAGAGAAAGAAAGAAAGAAAGAAAGAAAGAAAAAAGAAAAACAAAGAAAGAAAGAAAGAAAGAAAGAAAGAAAGAAAGAAAGTAAGAAGGAGGGAAGGAAGGAAGGAAGGAAAGAAAGAAAGAAAGAAAGAAAGAAAGAAAGAAAGAAAGAAAGAAAGAAAGAAAGAAAGAAAGAAAGAAAGAAAGAAAGAAAGAAAGAAAGAAAGAAAGAAAGAAAGAAATGCCCTGGGGGTGGATGTACTCATGTACAAAGGTCACGCCCTGAAAGCACACGAAGCCAGAACGAAAAAAAAAAATAGGGACAATTAAAATGGAAAAAAAAAAGACGTAGGGACTCAAGCCAGGAATGTGTGCCACGGGGTGGTGTGTTTGTATGGTCGTGAACAAAGGGGCGTCGTCTCCCCGAGCGGCATCGTACGCCACTAAAGCCGTCGCAAATCCAGGTAAATAGGAGCGCATCCAGGCGTAGAAGAGCAGGGAAAACGGCGACGCCGCAGCTCCCCGCCCCAGCGGAAGTGATGAGCTTGCGTCGCGCACGTTCTGCACGTTATGCAGAAGTACAAACGCAAAACTAGTATAGATAGACGACCCGAGCCTAAGAGACAAAGCGTATAGGCCTAACTGACGTTGCCACAGAATACGTCACTGCCACATAGCGCCTGCTTAACCATCTCGGGCAATGCAAAGAACGAGCGTGCGCCTCGTCAAACGCAAAAGATTACCTTCGGCGTCGGCATTGGCGTCGACAAAACGAATGATGCGAAATATCATGATCATATGTGACAACCTCACCCCAATACGTCCTGATGACGACACAAGCCACCAAAATCTGTGACGCCATCGTGACGTCATTACATGACATGAACATTTGGTCATTGGTGAACTGATCACGGAAGCCCTGCAAGGCCAGCTTGGGTACAGAGAGCTTCCGATTCCTGCGATCCCGGAGGCAAGTGAAAAGTCCACGTAGGGTGCGCAATTTTTCGGGTGGAATCAATAATTATCGACTAACACTGATGTCACGCAGTGCACCGCTGATCGCAGTCGAGCACAATCAGGATCTCAAGTGGCTAAACAATCATCGGCCTTCTTTTTGGAGCTTTCGTAAGGATCCAATTGCGATCGTGGAATTCGATAAGGATCAAGCTCGATCGCGATCGAAAAAAAAAACCGTCTGACCACGGTTATGTACGATTATGCCACGACGGTTCTTATAGGACTATGCCAGCACCTCCTTGTACAAGAAGCCGGCTCTCTCGCCAGCTTCCTATACAATGAGGTGCTGGCATAGTCGACACTTGCGGCACTTTGATCGAACACGAAGAAGTCACAAGCGTGACAGTTGTTACTTCATGTTTGTCCTGTTTATAGCTGCGAGTTCCTCTCGAGCGTCCTCCGTTGTGTTTGAGCAGCATCGTGTGAGGGTCGAGCTTTGACAGTTGATGATTCGCGCTCGTCCTGAGTATGTTCTTTCCGTGCGTCCTTTGCGCTTGAGCGACGCTCCGCAAGTATCGGGTTGCTTGGTTCCCGTTTGCGTGACATTCTAATTTGTCGCTATCGCCTTCATTTACACGCCCTTGAGGCGAAACTGTGGCCTTTTTACATTTTGATTAGTCGACCAGTCACTTGCTCGCTCGCTAAGTCTACTTCACAGTCACTGACGACGCCGAGTTCTTGTGGCATGGTGACACAGTGACAGAATCAAACCACCTCTATTGTATTAAAAACTTCAAGTCTAATGAAGACATTTCAAGTGGCACGGTGTTTCTCTCGCAAGGATCATTATTACGTTATACTTCTGCGGGCTCACAGCCTTCACGGAAAAGCTCATGGATTTTTCGTAAAGTCCACTACTTCGTTTGTGTCCACATGCGCTTTTATCCAGCAGAGCGAACCTATGCTGTAATCTAACGAGATTTCCGAGTATGCTGATTTTGTTGCCGAGAATGGCGGTGTAGTAAGCAAGGAAAGTTGCTTTCAGAGAACGCGGCATGCAGCTCGGCGTATGGCGCGTGCGTCGCATTCCTGAATTACATTGCTCTACGTCAACGGAGGAATCACAAGATGTAATAACTTCCATATCTGTTCATACACTCGTGTCCATGTTTATAGCCAACGTGTGCTGCGTGCATGCCACGGGCAGTCTAGTCATGGTGCTCGACGGCTGATTCGAAGGTCGCGTGATCGAATCCTGGCCGCGGCGGCCGTATTTTCGATGGAGGCGAAAACGCTGGAGGCTCGTGTACTTAGGTTAGGTGCACGTTGAACAACCATAGGTAATCGAGATTTCCGGATACAACCACTACACGACGTCTCTCATAAGTTGTAACCATATCACGGCTTTAGAACGCTGTACCCGCCAATTACTGTTAATAAACGAGAGTTTCTTGATCTATAGACATAGTAGTGCAGGGGATATCCGGCGCTGCACGCTGACGTGTCCAACCGAGGACTGTCTTCGGCGGCTTGCTCCAAAAGGGGCTTGCGCCAGAAACGTCGGCACTAGCTGTGCGCGGCGGCTGCATCCCGAGCAGCCTCTCTCAAAGCAGGTAGGGATTTCCCTGCATGCGAAGTCAGTGTGGTGACGAGTAACTACAGCAAGCAAAATATATATATATATATATATATATATATATATATATATATATATATATATATATATATATATATATATATATATATATTGTGATGTAACGGTGAAGGCAACCTTTTTTTAGGCCCAGAAGACAAGATGAAGCGACCACGCCCAAGGCACAGAGCTCAGACAAGCCAAGTCCCCACAGCAGATGAAGATGACGACCAGTCATAATGATGAATATGTGTAAAGATAGTCGATGTGCTTAATGAATGCCTACAATATATATATATATTGTAATGACGAAAACCGAAACTGGAACTCTCTCTGGCACAGACTCGCATGCTAGGAAGGAAGAGGAGGAAGACGAAGGAGAATAAGAACAGCCGGCCTGCAGCAAAGGCGTTGTGTCTTATATTTCTCGTCCTTACAATGGCGCAGTCGATGAAGAAGACGTCATACGTCCCGGCTTCGTCATCCAGGACGCCCGCCGACGTGCAGATGCGGTAAGCGTCGCTTGGGGACGGCGTCAAGGCCTCCTCAGCAGCTGTTCACCTGCCGCCACTGCCACCACCGTTCGGGGATGGCGCCAAGGCCTCCTCGGCGGCTTTAGTATACCCATCACCGGTATTTCTTCATGAAAAGGGACACCGTCTACGCGTCCTTCGCCACGGATTGTGCCGTGAGCACAGGTCGACAAGTGAACCCTGCGGCACAAGCCACCTGTCCGTACCCTCGTGGATCATCGGCAGCGTGGTTCTCTCATCGTAAAAACGCTGTTCACGCTTCCTCGATAATGGAGCCGACAGCCCTCCTGCAGCCGGGAGCACCTGTGCCGCCATTCGGGGACGGCGTCCAGGCCTTCTCGATGGCTCCTGGGCAGGCTTGCCCCGGCCCCACCACGACAGTACATGGCCTGTCGTTGACCGGGAATGCCGTTCACGCTTCCCACTGCGACAACGTCCTGCTCAGTGCTTCATCGGCACCTCAGCCGCTCAGGGGTGCTGTTCAAGCTCCCTCGGCCGAGGGTACCACAGCAGTGAGTACGCTGATCGGGGAACACGTCCCCACTGGCTCCGCATGTGGGCCGCCCGAGAGTGCCACCGAGCTTTCGCGCACCATTGCGCGACTCCGCCTCGAGGTCGGCGCCCTGACAGCGTCGAGTTCTGCGATATTCCCTGCTGCCTTGCCGGGACTTCACATCGCAAGGGATGGAGCGACAATCAGAAGTGGTGCGTGGCCTTAGACCGCCTTCAAAATCCTGCTGCTGCGTGGCACAGGTACGAAGGCGTGCGGCAGCAGTCCTGGGCGGACTGGAGCGCCAAGCTCATTGCTGCGTTTGGAAGAATTGAGTCTGACCTCACTGCTACCTCTCATTCTACCCTCGCCACTACCGAGCAAGGGGCTATTGAGAAGCACAACGACGAGGCAGCTGCACCCTCTGCCAACCTGCCCTACCTCGGAGATCAACCTCACGAGGCGCCGCGCCCCCCTACAGCTGTGCCGCGTGCCCCCTCCCCGGACAGCTTCCCAGAGTACCCTGCGGCAATCATCGAGACAAGCTGGACGGTGTACTCCTCCGGGCAGATCTCTGACTCCGCGTCGACACCTGACACACAATTACCCTTGACCCAACTTAGGACCGCCTATAAAGCACAGAAGCCAGTGAGCCAGCCTCCAAGCTGGTCAGCCCCAAATGGCCTGGATCCATTGACCTGCTGCGTGACGACGGCGGCTCTTTCACAACCAGCCGGAGACCAAGCACACGTCACAACGGCCAGTTTGACCCATAGTAAGGAGCCGCACCATCCCCTGCCACCTTTGCCGTCATTGGCCGAGTGCGTGGACGCTCGTAACTTGCCAAATGCCGTCTCCCCTAACGAGCCACAAGTGCCTACTCCACCTGAGGAGGATGCCATCGAAGTCATTCCGGTGCAGTTCACGGTTGCTCCGGATGGCGAGGCAACTGGCCATGTCGACATGAA